ATTATTAAAAAGGGCTCTACTTTTGTGTGTGTGTGTGTGTGTGTGCGGAGTGCATCCTTTGGACCAAGGATCCCTGCACTGAGAACTTCCTTCACCCAAGAGATAGAGAGAGACAATTGTATCACTGAGACAGTGAGAAGCAGCAGACAAACAGTGGCAACAGAACCAGGAGAGTGGCAGGAGATGGCACAGTGGGCTTCCCAGCCTATAAGCAAGAAAGGAAGTGCCTTCAGGAAGGAGGCTTCCTGGTGGAGTGGGGTGTTCCCAGGCACTTGGTGCAGCTAGGTTTGCTGACACATGGGACTAGAGCCGAGTGCCTCTGGGCATTTAGTAGAGCTTAAGAGCTCCAGCATGGCTAAGGCCAGTCCAAGAACCAGAGAGAACCCTGCCTGTGGGTACAGAGAAGAGGCTGTTGTGACTGAAGAACTCTATCCTGAGAGTTCTTGAACTTGATTTGTAACCTGTTTCTTCCCTAATAAACCCTTAGCTATATGGTCTCTGAGTTCTGTTTGGTCATTGCAATGAATTCTCAAACCTAGCAGAGAAGCAGAGTGCCGTGGGAGGGATGGTTGGCATCAGAATTGGTAAAAAAAGACTGAAGGATAGAGGCATGTGTGACTGCCTGTTAAGAATCAGCCTTGGGCTGTTGATCTTGATCCTCCTCCCACCTTGTGAAGTTAGAGGTCAGAAAACTCCACCATGCCATTGATACAATCAATGTTTCACAGAATTTCCAAATTTACATAAAGAAAAGCTAAGTTTTCCAAAATCATTCTTCACTGGCAAATAACAATTATCTTTTAAAAAACGTATCATCTTGCCTATCTCTCCTGGCTAGAGTATAAACTGCAAAAGGCAAGGGCTTTCTATATGACCATGAGACCAGAAAAGCTAGATAATGCCCAGCTACTACTGTCAACTACTCAGAAAGGGATCAGTGCAGGAGATCCTGGATAGAGTGGGAGAACAAAGTGGAACAAAACTCAAAAGTCATAAAAAAGAAAAAAAAAAAGACCAGGTTTACTGGTGTGATATGATAGAGGCTGTTGAGATGCCCAAGACTATGGGCCCTAGTTACCCTTCAGGTCTGGAACTGAACTAATTCCTGTGGCTTCCAGCCAAACAAGACAGGCATGTGGGATGAATATCTGTATCAGGTAGATACTCTCCTTGGAGCAGTCAATCAATCGGGGGAGAACAGAAGGGCAGTGTTTGCACAGGGAGATAGTTGGGGGTGTGGGGGAGTGCATGGGACGGAAGGACATAGGGAAGAGGGAACTAAAGGGAGGAAGTGGGAAGACATTAGTGTCTAAGGCATTTGACTGCTAACCAGAAGGCTGGAGTGGTTCAAACTCACCAGCCATTCCTCAGAAGGAAGACTGGGCCATCTACTTCGAAGCCAACTCCATGGCAGTGAGTTTGGTTTTTATTAGTTATGAAACAAAGTGTGTATGAAATGCTGTATGGAAAATTAATTTTCTCTGTATATCTGTAAACTTTCACCCAAATCACAATAAACATTGAAAAAAGAAAAAGGCAACAGCTTTATCTGGTTTGTTCACCCTATCACCTAAAATTGTGCACATAATAGATGTCCAGTAAATATTTACTGAATTAACAACTGTAAATTCAAATAAAATCTATATAATCATCTCTGGGCTAGCTTCTACAGTGTGACTGGTAAGCACTGACTTGAACTATATGAAACTGCTATTCAATTATTTTTCACCTACAAAAATGGCAATTTTTTGTTCAATCTCATTTTTTAAAAAAGCTTTTTAAAGGATAATATACCAAATAAATGAACAGATTTTGTGAAAGATCTAAATGGAGGAAGATTTCAAGTTTAGATTTCAGAACATTCACTAGCATTAGTTTTAGAAAACTAACCCAAACCTTACCCTTATTAATATACTATATGGTTTTTTGAGAATAAAAAGCAGCCTCATATCAGACTTAACAGGTATTTTTTTCTTATTACAGTTAACCAACTCCTAATTTCCTTTTAGTGCCAGTCCTCGTAGTGCAGTGAATTACTTAATATGGCCCTTCTATTGGTTGCTATGGTAGCGTAGTGCCTAAGACACTTCACTGCTAACCAGAAGGCTGGTCATTCAAACCCACCAGCCACTTCTCGGAAGGAAGATGGGGCAATCTACTTCCGTAGTGATACTACCTTGGAAACCCAAGGAGGGGTCGCTATGAGTCAGGGCCAACTCGATGGCACACAACAACATTGGTTGCTATAAGTCAATCCAACTGGACAGCACGTAACAACAACATTCAGCCTTTGTAACACCCACCAGATGACTGGCTGGGACTATGCAAATGTGAGGTGCTTGTGACCTATCAAGGGGATTAGATAGTTTGTTAATAATGTAAATAAAGCACATGACACTCTTATGGGGATGGGGCCATGCAAATAAGATGTACAGAACCCTAATGAGGGGATTGGTCACTTTTGCCATCCTGCTAGGCTTATGAGCCATCCCAGAACCAAAGAGGGACCTCTAAACCACAAACAGAATCGTCAGGAATGAAGTGTTTTTTGGACCTGAGGTCCCCGCTCTGAGAACTTCCTAGACCTAGGAGACAGAGAGAGAGCTGTAATACAGGAGACAATGAAAGACAGGGGGATGCAGTGGCAAAGAAATGGGACAGCAGAACCAGGAGACAAGAGACGGCACAGTGGGCTTCCTGGCCCACGGAGCAAGAAAGCCGTCTTGGCAGGAGGATTGCTGGCAGAGTATGGTGCCTCCAGGCTCTTACTAAGAGAGGTAAAGAGTTTTGTAACACTAGCCTGAACAGGGCAGAGGCTAGGTTGGCCCAAGAGGCACGAGGGGTTGAGGACCAGAGAGACAGACCTGCCTGAACCATGGCTGAGAAGCTGTCCTGACCAAAGAACTGTATCCTGAGTGAGTTTCTGATCCTGAATAGTACCATTACTTACCAAATAAACCCCATAATCGTGAGTATTGTCTGCAACTTTTGTGTAGCATTGCAATGAATTATAGAACCCAACAGTGAAGTAGAGAGTGCTGTGGGAGGGAGTGGGTGTCAAACAGATAAAAAGGTTGGAGACTGGATGTACGTCTGACCTTTGCTGACATACAGGAGTCAGCCTTGGGCTGTTCATCTTGATTTGGGTGTAGTGCCTAGGGCATCTGATTGTTAACCAGAAGGATGGTGGTTCAAACCCACCAGCCACTCCTTGGAAGGAAGATTGGGCAATCTACTTCCATAGTGATACTGCCTCAGAAATCCAAGGAGGGATCACTGAGTTGGATCCAACTCAATGGCAGTGAGGTTTTTTTTTTTTTTTTTTTTTTGTGAAGGTAGTAAGAAACTCTTTCTGGTGATGTAGTGTTGTTGTTATGTGCCATCAAGTCAGACTCGACTCATAACGACCCCTCCTTGGGTTTCCAAGGCTATGGAAGTAGACTGCCCCATCTTCCTTCCGAGGAGTGGCTGGTGGGTTTGAACTGCCAGCCTTCTGGTTAGCAGTCAAGTGCCTCAGGCACTACGCTACCTGAGCTCCCACTGGTATAGTGGCTAAGGCGTTTGGCTGTTAACCAAAAGGTTGGTGGTTTGAACCCACTGTGGAAGAAAGATGGAGCAATCTGCTTCTGTAAAGATTTCCAGCTTTGGGAACCCAATGGGGGTCACTATGAGTCAGAAGCAACTTGATGACAGCAAGTTTGGTTTTGATTTGGTCTTACGACATCAGATGCCACTGTCAAGCCATTTTTGCAGCCCTGAACTGCAGTGCTGGCACCGGTCTACTGACTGAAGGGAATGGTAGACAGAGGATATGGCTTGTATTTACAGCAGGTCCCTCTCATGAGTTTCCAGACTACTTTTGGAAGGGAAGAATTAAAATTTTCTTAAAATCTCTACCCATGGTGTGATCTATGCCCAGAATCATGGCCCTTTTGCTCTTGGGTTACAGTAAATCATTTTGCTTTATTTGGGAAACAAAGGACTCAGTAGATGAGGTGAAACAAATGAAACAATCAAAAAGCAGAGAATTTATGCGTACTATTTATTCTGGGAGAGGCTAGAAGGACACAGCAACCTTGTCTGACAAAACTAACTTAAGAACAACTGTCAGCCTTTAATACTTTGTATTATTACAAGAAAAGATTATCATATGGAAATTGCCAAAGGCTTCTGGTCCTATGTTGAGATTTTCTCAAGAATCATCCATAATACTCCCATACACTGCAAAAATTAAGCCAGGCATTTTTTATTTTAAAGAGGATCATCATTCATTTATTTTTTTTCTTTATATTTAAAATTACTCTCATTTTTGTGTTTTAAGCATTTATTGCCCTTATCATTATTAGAAACACACCTCGTTAAAAATACATTTTTTTATGTAGACCACCTCAAGAGGTAGCTGAAACATGCTTTTCTAAACAATTTATATGATTGGAATTCCTAAGCAGTAACAGGAAAAATCACATTTTTATCAGTGCCTTTCTTTGTACATTTTCAAAAAAAAATCCAGACACACTTAAGATTGTCTAATGTCCCTTAAAGAAAGAGATCAAGAGAGAAATAAATTTCAAAATATGGCCAAATAAATATGCTTTACATTTCTGGAAGTAGAAGAATATCTAGTTAAACATGACCATTACTAACTTTTATACATAATTTTATCTATCCAGACCTTAACAGCACATAACTAATAGACCAAAAATCAGAACTTTTTAAAATACAGGAAACAATATATCTAGTGGTACAGAAGATTCTAATATCAAATGAAATACAACGTACATGATTGAAAGGCTTTGATTTCTATATAAAGTATTCTACTTAGGTAATATAATAAACTAACAAAGCACAGTTTCCAAGTCACATCAAGTGATTTTATCTTCTCACATTTCAAATGAAATGCTGAAGACTAAAAACCTAGAAAATCTGTCATAAATGACAATATGCAAAGGTAACACATTATCATCAGCAAGTTTCTTTTGAAGCTAACAAATGTCACAAGCTTATATTTTTCTTGTTTGTGATCCCAAAACAGGCAGCATTTTCATTTCATCCACTCTATTCTTATGTATTTGAAAAGCAGGTGTTATCCATCTACCACAAGAACACTGTTCACCATACCAGTTGAAGGAACCCAACTTGGCACTGCATTTTGGGCAAAGAAGCTAAAATAAAAATAAAGCAAATGTGTTACTTCATTTATTTACATTTATACAAAACAAATAATTGTCTTTGACACTGTATCACATACAAGAAACAGGTAAAAGATGGTTTCTATCTTCAAGGAGTTTACAAAATAATAAATGAGACAAAATGCATCTGCAATTTACTGTAATGGACGGCAGACTCCAATAATTGTGTAAGAGGCATGTTGTACTCTGAGAGTCTGGAGGAACAACAAATTCATTCCAATTTGAGGGGAGAAAAATAAAGCTTGAGAGATGACTGAGGAAGGTTTCATGGATGTGGCATATATGTTTAGCTTTAAAATCAGTCGACAATTTAAGATTTCAAACTAAAATCCTCATGGCTAATTGATAGAAAAGTATGTTAGGATTTGTTAGGATCTCATGTTCTATCACTAACTGATATTGATAGCATATAAATTAGTCCATCTCAGATTCCTAGCTATTTAAAAACAGATAGTCTAGTAAAAGAGATAAGTTTTAAAAAAAGCTTAATAAGTCTATCTCCTTCTAATATATTTATAGCATTGTTTTTTCACATTTAGTTCTTTGATTTTTGCATAGCATGAGATGGAAATTTTTATTTTTAACCTTGGGCCAGTGAAAGCCTGTACATAAAGCTTAGAAACCATAAAAAAAACATGACAGAGTTGATTATATAAATATCTTAAATTTTAGTATGACAAAATATACCACAAAGTGTAAAACAACAGATTACAGAAAATATTTACAATGTATTAGATGAAGATTATTATCTAAAATATATAAAGGAGTCCTACAGATGGATTAAAAAATGACAAATCCCACAGACAAATGGACTAAGAATGTTAAGGCAATTTATAGAAGAGATTATAAATGGCTGATAAAATACATAAAGATATTAGACCTCAGTAGTAATCATGAAAATTCAAGTTGAAACATTTTAGGATTAATATTTTTCACCTTACAAACTGACAAAATTGTACGTTTTATAAGATGCATTAAGTCAACTGCACAGGGAAATGGGGACTTGCAGTCACTGTTGGTGAAGGGCAAACTGGTATAGACTTTTTGAATGTCAGCCTGAAATACTAATAAAATTTAAAATGTATATTCTTCAAGTTAGGAATTACATTTCTAGGTATATATTCTATAGAAATATTTAAATATGTATACAAAGCATGCACAAACATGATCTAGGATTGTGTGTATGCTTTGCAGGTTAAATAAAAGCAAGCCAAAAGCACAAACAACAAAAGATAAAAGTAGATAAACGGGACTTCATCAAAATTCAAAGCTCTAATGCTACAAACAATATCATAAAAATGTCATCAAGAAAGTGAAAAGACAACACAGAATGGGAGAAAATATTTGTATGAAAAGAGAGCTATGTGCAGAATATACAAAACATACTTAATTCAACAATACAAAGTTATTTAACCCAAGTAAAAATAAACAATGGATCTGAACAGATATTTCTCCAAAGATACATAACTGGCCAATAAACATATGAAAATATCTCAATCTTAGCCATTAGGGAAATGAAAGTCAAAACCACACTGAGATACCACCTCACGCTAATTATGAAGGCAAGAATCAAACTGATAAAAAGTATTAGAGAAAATGCAAATAAATTAGAACTCTCATACATTGTTAGTAGGAATGTAAAATGGTGCAGCTTTGGAAAACAATTTAGCAGTTCCATAAAATGTTGAACATTCAGTTATCATATATCCCAGCAATTCCACTCCTAGGTATATACCCAAGTGCTATGGATTGAACTGTGTCACCCAAAAAAATACATTGAAGCCCTGACCCCTACACTTGTGAAGGTGACCATGTTTGGAGATAGGGTCTTTAAAGACAGATGCTACCAGTAAGTTGACATGAGGTTATGCTACTAGACTAGAGTGGGTCCTAATCCAATCTATGTGATCTCCTTATAAAAGAAGAGACTCACAGAAAGACAAAAGAGGAAGGACAGCCATATGAGGATGCATCTATAAGACAAGGAAGACCTGGAGCTACCAGAGGGTGGAAGAGACAAGAAAGGATTTTCTCCTAGAAAATTTGGAGGAAGCATAGCCCAGCTGACACACTGATTAGGACTTCTAGCCTCCAGAACTGTGAGGTAATAAATTTCTAATAAGCCAAAAGTTTGTGGTACTTTTTTATGTCAGCCCTAGGAAACCAATACACCAAGAGAGATGGAAACATACATCCACACAAAAACTTGTACATGACTGTTCATTACAGATTATTCATAAAAGCCAAAAAGTAGAAACAACCCAAATGTCCATCAACTGATGAAGAGATAAATAAAATGCAGCATAACTATACAATAGAATATTATTCAGCAACAAAAAGGAATGGAGTACTAGAACATGCAATAATACAGATGAACCTCAAAAACATTAGGCTAAAAGAAAAAAAGGGACCAGGTTTGCTGATCTGATAGAGGCGGATGGAACCACTGAGACTATGGCCCCTAGCTGCCCTTCAGGTCTGGAATTGAACCCACTCCTGTGGCTTCCAGCCAAACAAAAGACAGACATATGAGCTGAACATTTACATTAGGTAGATACACTCTTTAGAGAGATCAATCATAAGAGAATAGAAAGGTTGTGTATGCACAGGGTGACAGCTGGGGGCGGTGGCAGGAGTGCATGGAGGGAAGGACACAGGGAGGTGGTAACTATGGGGAGGAAGTGGGAGGGGAAATTGTGGGAAATTGCAGTCAATGTCATGAGACAAAATGTATGTGAGCTGCTGTGTAGAAAGTGAATTTGCTCGGTAAACTTTCACCCAAATCACAATAAAAATTAAAAAAAAATAAAAGTTCAAAATCACCAAAAAGAATTTAAAAAATTAGGCTAAGTGAAAAAAACTAGTCATAAAAGATCATATACTATATGATTCCATTTATGTGAAATGTCCAGAAAAGGCAAATCTATAAAGACAGAAAGTAGAGTAAGTTGCCTAGGGCGAGCTGGGCAGAGAGGAAAGAAGGGCTAGAGCGAATGGGAAGTGACTGCTAAAAGGTATGGGATTTATTTTGGGGATGGTGGAAATAGTCTGAAATTGATTATAGTGATGGTTGCAAAACTCTGTGAGTATATGAAAACCCTCTGAGTTGTATACTTGAAATGGGTGAATTGTACAGTTTGTGAATTATAGCTCAATAACATTGATTTTCAAAGAGCAGCATAGTCTAAAAACTTGGGTTTGAGTACACAGTTCCACTTTCTAGTCAAGACATTAATTAATGTAAACTAAGTTTCCTCATGTATAAAATGTGAATATCTAATTCAGTTATTTGTATCCAACTAAGGTAGCATAGTGCCTAAGGCACTTGACTGCTAACCAGAAGGGTGGCGGTTCAAACCCACCAGCCACTCCTCAGAAGGAAGGTTGGGCATTCCTACTTCCGTAGTGATACTGCCTCAGAAACCCAAGGAGAGGTCGCTATGAGTCAGGGCCGACTCGATGGCAAGTAACAACAACAATGTCATTCTATACTCCAATGAGGTAATAAAGTGGAAGGGTTTCATTTGACTGCTAAACAGAAAGCTGATGGTTCAAACCCACCAACCGCTCCATTAAAGAAGATGGGGCAATCTATTTCCATAAAGATTTACTGCCTTGGAACCCAATGGAGGTCGCTATGCGTCAGAACTGACTTGATGGCAGTGAGTTTGGTTTTGGTTTTGCAAATATCTAAAATCATCTAGCAAATAACTATGGGCTAAGATTATCTTTAAGATTGAATTTGAACATAAGCCTCCCTAGTGCCTAAGGTACTTGACTGCTAACCAGAAGGCTGGAGGTTCAAACCCACCAGCCACTCCTCGGAAGGAAGGTTGGGCAATCTACTTCTGTAGTGATACCGCTTTGGAAACCCAAGGAGAAGTCACTAGGAGTCGGGTTCAACTCGACAGCACATAACAACAACAAAGGACATGCTTGTTAGATATACTATTAAGTTCATGACTTAGAAGGCTTCTATTTACAAGGCTGTAATCATTTCTACATTTAGGAAGTCATACACATCTGCAGATCATACTCCATGTAATCCTCCCTGTGTGTCTCTAACATAATGCTGCTCTCGCTTCATCAAAAGGATCATTCATTTATTCAGTGATTCAGGAAATATTGCCTACTCCCTGTTTTTGGAAGTATCTTGTGCTTAACGGGGAGTAGTGCTTAACAAGATACTTCCAAAAAGTTCCTTAGGAAAATGAGAGAAGTACATTTTCTGTGGTAGTCTACCACTAGAGCTGGCAAATGTCACCATTTAAAAGAAAAAAAAAAATCAAATTGTCATAGAATGTCTTCATACTAAATCAAAGAAACCTAAAGAAGAAATATGGCTGTGGTGCAGTGAATAACTTAGTATGACTCTCCTAGCCATGGTCTTTTTGACTCCCACTAGATGACAGGGTGGGACCCTGCCAATGTGAGGTATGTGTGGCCTACCGAGGGGATTGAATAGCTTGTGGATGATGTGAATAGACACGGCACCCTTGTGTGGGTTGTTGTTGTTGTTGTTGTTATGTGCCGTTGAGTCGGCCCCGACTCATAGCGACCCCTCCTTGGGTTTCCAAGGCAGTATCACTACGGAAGTAAGATTGCCCAACCTTCCTTCCGTGGAGTGGCTGGTGGGTTTGAACCGCCAGCCGTCTGGTTAGCAGGCAAGTATCTTAGCTACTATGCTACCAGAGCTCCCTTGTGTGGGTTAAGACCATGCAAATAAGGTATATGGAACTCTAATGTGGGGATTGGTCAGTTTTGGCATCCCACTAGACTTAAATAAGCTACCCCAGAGGCAGAAAGGGAGACCTCACTACCATCAAGAGAGAAGAATCAGTAGCGGAGCACATCCTTAGACCTGAGATCTCTGTCCAGAGAGGGAAGAGAGATGGTGGCAGCAGAACTAAGAGACTGTCATGAGACAGAGAGGCAGGTTTCCCAGCCCACAGAGTGAGAAAACTGAGTGCCTTCAGGTAGGAGGGCTGCTGGCAGAGTGGGGTGCCTCTCTTGGCACTTAGCAGCAGAGCACAAAGAGCTTTGTAACATTTGACAGAACAGAGCCGAGGCCAAAGCCAAAGAGAAGGGTGCCTATGGCATGGCTGAGAAGCTGTCCTGACTGAAGAACTATATCCTGAGTCATTTCTGATCCTGAATTATACCCAGTTACTTCCCTAATAAAGCCCATAATTATGAGTATTGTCTGTGATTCTGTGTGGCCATTACAACAGATTATCGAACACAGCAGAGAAGTAGAGAGTGCTGTAGGAGGGATGGTTGGTGAGAAGATTGGAGGGTGGTGGCACATCTGACCTCTGCCTCATAGGAACCAGCCTTGGGTTGTTGATGTTCATCTTGATTCTCTCTTTCTTGTGAAGTTAGATGAAATCAGATGCCACCCCCACACTCTTTTTGAAGTAGCTGTCAAATGACCTTCATATAAAATGAACTGCATTTTTTAGAATAAGAAATGATAAACAACCTCACAGTAAACATACTAGATTCAAGATAAGGGCACAAAAAGAGAGAGATACATGAAACAAAAAAAAGGATGAAAAGGAAGAAATTTGTTTAAAAAAACAAAAGCTTGATTTGCCCTACTTATTACTAAGTTCAAGTATTATTAAATATAATCAATTTTAAAATAAATGATGTTATTGAGTTTCATGTTTTCAAAAATATAAATAGTCTTAAAAGGAATTTAATTACTTAGAACAATGGCTTTCAACCAATGTTCACTATTTTGGGTCAGCTGCTTTTTTTAAACTAATTTATTCTTGGTAGAATCTAGTCTTACCTACAATAGAGAGAAATGTCATCTTCAAAAGGAATGGAGTTAAGATGGAGTAAAACACAAGCTACAATTGGTTTAAACTGAAAGAAGGAACAAAATACAGCTGATATAATAAAACAATAGAAAAGATAATATGTTCTTACCTGCCCATCCATCACTCCCAACAAAGTGGATTCCATCCACTGTACAGGTTCAATGAAATAAGATGTACAATGAGCTTGAGTCCCTGTTGTAAGCATGGAAGATGGTGTCATTCTCTTGTGAGCAAAGGCTATTGGACCACTTCCTTCATTGTGATCCAAAATGCTAGAATTTCGAAATAAGGACCGCCTGCAACCCCCAAACAAACATAGAATATAAATTACTTCCCAAAAGGTGAAGAAATAGATGAAATGTACAGTATTTCTTAGAAGAGAAACAATATAACATTAAAACTCACTGCCATCAGCACTATAGAATAATGTAGATTCTGCAAAACCCCACATAATATGGATGAATTTGGAGGACATTATGCTGACTGAAATAAGTCAATCACAGAAGGACAAATACAGTATTAGTTTGTTGTTGTGGAGGATCAAGGAAAGGTTTATATATGGAGGGAAACTTTCTTTGTTGGTTCCCAGGGGTGGGAAGGGAAGAGAAGGAATACTGCAAACAAATAAACAAACAAAAAGCACTGACCCATGTCACTTCAGCTTTGTGTATTTCACTATACATAAATTATATTTCAATAAAATGCATTAAAAAAAAAAAAAACCTCACTGGCCTCAAGTCAGATCCAACTCATAGCAACCCCTCCTGGGGTTTTGGAGGCAGTATCACTACGGAAGTAGATTGCCCAATCTTCCTTCCAAGGAGTGGTTGGTGGGTTTGAACTGCCAGCCTTCTGGTTAGCAATCAAATGCCTTAGACACTACGCCACCAGAGCTCCCATTATACTACTTCTATCCTCAACAATCCCTACAGTCTGATTACTTTTACTTTTAAAATTTTATTTCTTCTTGAAAGCAGATTTGATTTGAAATTTCTACATTATGCAATTAACCAAATTCTTCCCAGAGAGATAAAAGAAACTGAAACTTTTAATTATTTTTCAGCTACTGAGGCAAGATAAATTCTTCAGAGGACACAAAGTATTTTACCTGCACTTTCTACATTTGTAGAGAACCTCATCTTTCAATCCTTGTGAAATGGTGGTTGGGTCAACAGCGAAGAGTTCCTGAGGTAAATTCTGCAATTCTATAACCAAAAAAATAATAATAATTAAGGCGCTCTGGTGGCATAGTGATTAAAGCATTCAGCTGCTAACCAAAAGGTTGGTGATTAGAACTCACCAGCCACTCCGCAGAAGAAAGATGAGGCAGTCTACTTTCGTATAGATTTACAACCTTGGAAACCCTAAGGGCCAGTTCTACTCTGTTATACAGTATCGTTATGAGTTGGAATCAACTCACTGGCAGTGGGTGAGTATGACAAAATTAAAATATATCCATTTGTCAAAATCAACTGTCTGCATTTTCAGACAAAATTCAGTTAATGTCACATTGAGGCAGTAAGTGCTAACCTCAGAAATTAGATAAATAAATAAATAACTCTCACGTTGAGAAACCAGAATGATGTAGAACACAGTGATAAAGTCCTTGGATTCTGGGTACAGAATGCCTGAGTTCAAATCTTAGCCCTGCTACTCATAAGACACATGACCTGGAACAAATTATTTCTCTCTAAGCCACAGTTTCCAAAGGAAAACAACAGTACTTATCTCAAGAGCTTGCTGGAAAGGTTAAGTGAGATAATGTACCTGAAGCATTTAGTGCCAGGATAAATGGCATACAGAAAGGACCCGATACATATTGGCCATTATTATTACATACCTGGATACTTCTCTGTAACCTTTTGTAAACGATATTGCTTATAAATTGCACTAGAAGTATCCACTTCATATCCCATTGCTTGGTATAATTTTAGTTGCCACTCAAACCCTTCATTCATCCTATAAAGGCAAATATAAAATTCACTTTTCTTTAAATAAAATGACATCACATAAGCAGAATTATCACCATAACAAAGAACTCACTTAGCCTCTGGTTTGACAGTCTGGAGGTTTTCATAGGCTTTTTCAAAGGCAAGTTGGTCAGTCTTCATTATAAAAGCAGTCACTACAGCAACACTTCGACTAACTCCTGAATGACTGAAAAAGAGACCTTTAAAATAAAACAGCAAACAGCAACAATTAAAAAAATAACCCAACCCCCTATTAATGCAAAAGTAGGGTCTACTTCAGGTCTGCTTCTGCTACTATACAAATAAACCTTTCGTCTCTGAAATACTATCAATGTACAAAAGAACAAAGGTTAATTAAAAGGTACAAATATACGTATGTGATTTTATCTCCCTCATTTTCAAATAATCTTTGCTTCAGCAACTACTATGAGGTAGGCACTGTGCTAGGCATTGGAGAAAGAAAGAATAGTAATAATGTTAGAAATGAAGAAATCAGTAAGCCCCAAGTTCAATAAATATTTATTGAGCTTTTATTATATGCCAAGTACAGTTCTAGTGCTGGGAACACAGAGAACATAACACACAAAACTCCTGCTCTCATGAAGCTTATTTATTTATGGGAAGAGACTGACAATAAATAAAATATCTGGTAAACTATCAGAGTATGCAACCTCAATATGACAGTACTACAGAGACTTGTACGGGAATCTGGTAACATAGTGGCTAAGGCACTTGACTGCTGACCAGAAGGCTGGCGGTTCAAGCCCACCAGCCACTCCTCTGAAGGAAGATGGGGCAATCTACTTCCGTAGTGATACTGCCTCAGAAACCCAAGGAGGGCTCACTATGAGTCGGGTCCGACTCTATGGCACATAACAACAACATTATTATATTAAAAAGCAAGGCTTGCCAATAGGTTGTGAACCTAAATCTAAATCTGGCCCTAGTCCAAGCTACACCATTAAGATAGTATGACGCCTATTCCTAAGAACTTAAATTTTATGTTACCAATATGGAGGCTATCTTTTATTTCCTACTGTAATCCCCATGCCTAAAATACTGTCTGGCAGATAGTAGTTGCCCAATAAAATAATCTAGGAAATGACAACACTATTTGTTAGCATATTCAACATAGAGGCCCTTGTTGTTGTTGTTATGTGCCGTGAAGTCGGCCCCAACTCATAGTGACCCCTCCTTGGGTTTCCGAGGTGATATCACTATGGAAGTAGACTGCCCAACCTTCCTTCCGAGGAGTAGCTGGTGGATTTGAACCGTCAGCCTTCTGGTTAGCAATCAAGTGCCTTAGGAACTACGCTACCAGAGCTCCTGTAGAGGCCCTAGATGAAGATTAAAAATGTTTTAATGTAGTTTAAAAGAATGTCACTGATTTAAAAAGGAAATATAGTGCCCCTGTATTAAGCAGAGAAATTCACATTTATTTATTCAGTAATCTTTATAGCTTAATGAAAGGAAGTGTGGGCTTGGAATCAGGAAGTGTTGTTGTTGTTGTTGTTAAGTGCTGTCGAGTCGTTTCCGACTCATAGCGACCCCATGCACAGCAGAACGAAACACTGCCCGATCCCGCAGCAGCCCCACAATCCATGCTATACTTGAGCCCATCATCGCAGCCACCGTATCAATCCATCTCCCTGAAGGCCTCCCCCTCTTTCGTCGACCCTCCACCCTACCAAGCATGA